GATCAAAAAAATAAACACATGGAGCTGGACCTAAACAATTGTAAGAAAAATGTTTGCTGTCCTGTTTAATTATCCCGGATAATACATTTCCATTTCTCTATCATGATTCTGTATTTAAATATTTGTTACAGAAATGCCTTGAAAAAGTTTCTTAAATCTCTCAGTAATTATCCTTGATGAGGAAAATTCAAACTTAACAAATTTATTCCTAATACAAATGTAGCAATGTAACAACCATTTGATGTCTCTGAGCCAAGAGTCTCACTTTGCTTTTTTTCCTTTACTTTCGATCCAGACAGACCTCCGTGATTTTTGTGGCTTAGGAAACAGCAGAAGAGGTCTCAGAAATAGTGTGGAGTTTTCATGCTTGGTGCCCATAGTAATTGGTAGCGATTGGCTACAGGATGTTGTGGATAAGATTCTGTAGCTGTGACTTGAGAAGAGAACGATACTGTTAGCTGCTGTGTCTGCTGAGGTTTAGCAGCAGAAAAGGGTGCAGAATTGTAGCATTTTGTTCCTTCTCATTTAATGGAAAGAGCTTTGGTCTGGGAAGCTGATCATCCTGAATTTCAATGCATGTTGTACTCCCAAGTAACTTTGTGGCTTTTAAGTCAGTCTCTCTGTCTCTCTCTCTGTCTCTCGCTCTCTCTGTCTCTCTCTCTGTGTCTCTCTCTCTCTCTCTCTCTCTCTCTCTCTCTGTGTGTGTGTGTGCTTGTGTGTGTGTGTGTGTGTGCATGCACATGTATGTGTGCTCATGCGAAAGGTACACATGTTGAAGAAAAAAGACAATTTCAAGTAATGGTCCTTATCTTTCACCTAATTTGAGAATGAGTCTCTTGCTACCATACTGGTGAGTACAGTGTGCTAGGTGAACTTTGAAGTTCAAGGGATTTGCCTGTCTCTGCCTCCTATCTCTCAGAAGTACTGATTTTACAGATATATGCTATCTTATCCAACTTTATGTAGTTTCTAGAAACCCGAATCAGGTCTTCATACATGACTTTCCTGGTAAATCATCTCCAGCTACTGTAACAAACCTCATATTGACATCCAACAAAAGAGGTACTATAGTAAATAATGTTTCATGTTATCTTGTCTTAATTATGAATTCCTACTAAGACATTCAAGGAATGGGTACAATCACTTATTTTTATAAAGTTTCAAGAACTTACCTTAAGTCACCCTGGCTATGGTAGTTGATTATAACAATGGCCCCAATGCGCATGTCTCCTCAAGCCCATGCTAAAGCTCACTATGAGCTTTCTAAGTCTTTTATTAACACTGATTTTATTTTTCTGCATTGAACCTGGTTGGCTCGAGATTCCTCCTGCCCCCCAACCCCCGCCAAAAAAAAACTGCAGTAATTAAACCCTTAAGAGATCTTAGAGATTCTACCTCTAGTTTAGGATAAGTATCATAGAAAATGAAAAGACTGTCTTTGCCCCAATGCCAACCACCTTCCATTTGAAATTGTGACATCAATGAGTTCAGGTTAGAATTAGAGCAGAAACCACATAGAGAGTCATGGTGACAAATATGTACAGCTCATGTGACACTAAGTTTTTTCAGGTCATATTTTATGCAGTAGTTAAAAATTGTTATGGACATTTAAATCACTTCATGGCTATCTTGGGGCTAGACAGTCTGTGACAGGCCTTAATAATTGGTATCAGCAGTCCACTGAGATGCCATTTTCCCTAGTATTGTGCAGTAAATTAGATGAGTTTGTTAACAGTGAGTTGGTCTTGGCATACACAAAGGGTGTGTACTCTATGTCATTAAGGTCACTCGTTAGCAAATGATGGCTACAGGAAATATACATACACAGTCCTGTACACATATACACACAAGCATGCAACAGTATTGCACAGCTGGAGTGGCAAAGGGTCTTCTCCAAATGAGATTGGTTTAAGCCTGTTTACTTTTTTCATGATGTATTACTACTATTAATAGTTCTTAAAATTGATAAATGTATACAACCTCAGGTTAGGTATGCAAAAGCAAAGGTTGTGAGTCATTTTGATTTAATTTCCTCCATATTTTCACTTACTAAATATTGGGACAAGTTAGCTGTTACCATCTGAGAAGCAAAGTTGATAGTGTTTTTGTGGTATTGACGAGGATGACCTCTTATGTGCTACTGATATGACAGCTCTGTCTCTCTAGTTTCCACTGTGAGGAGTTACTTATGTGAGATGTCAGTCTTCCTCTAGCTGGTTAATCCATGTAGACAAGGCCTACAATTGTGGGAAGCTGCATTGTTGTTATCTTGCTATTTTTTGATAATTAGGCTTAAGGGAGATTAGAATTTAGAAGAAGGGGAGGATTCCCCTTTGTACTTCAGGGAGTGGGTGTAGAAGTGGATGTGGAAGACCTCAGCTGGGTGATCAGTGGACAGGAATATGCCCACAAGCAGTCTGGGAAAGTCGGTAATCAGCAGTGCGGTGGTGGGAATCACAGCTGGTAGCCCTGGAACCTCTGAGGTCTCCCCCTGCTCAGCCAGATCTGCCCACCTGTGAAGCCCTGAATGGGGAAGACTGAGCAGACAGTAGCAAAGGATGCAGGAGGGTTCTAGTTTTTGTTCCTGAGACAGAAACTCAGAGAAAAGCAGCAAGATGAGCAGATATTTCTCTGGTAATTGCACCTTGGGGTCTGTTGATATCTGGGATATGACACTGAGCTTCTCTCAGGAGGCATGGGAACTTCTGAAAGCTACTCAGAGCACTTTGTGTGTGGATGTAATGCCACCTGAAACCATGATGAGCTCTAAGGTCTGTGATGCCACCAAAGACCATGTGGGTGTCTGGTGGTCCATGTAGCCACAGGAAACCATGTGGAAGTCTATGATTTTGCTGTTATGGACAGGAAAGCTTCTGTGGCAGGTATTGATTACTCTAGGCTCTTAGTTGAAAATGAGAAACAATGAAGTTTTCTTCAACCACTTCCCTTCGCCTAACAAAAAGAAAAAGTCTAGATAGGAACTCATGGAAGAGAGTCCTTAAAACTTTCAAGAAAGATGCTGAAATATAGCTCTTCACAATTGATGGCTTCTGATGGGGCATCGGAAAGGACTCAGTTATTTTTAAGGGATAACTGGGAGTTTAGCCACTGGAAGTTTGACCATGCTCCAGTGGTAGTTAACACAAATTGAACTTGATATATTTCCAGTGGCAACACAAAGATGGGAGAGTGAACCTGGGATAAATGGGAAGTGAGTGTGATCAGGGTGTGAAATTCCCAAATAATCAATAAAAATATTATGCTGGAAAAATTAGGGAGGAGGAAGACAGGCAAAGGTCCTTCTTGACAAACAGAAAACAACTCTCTGAGGGGTAGATTTTGGCAATCTGCTTAAGAGTAGGAAAGCAAATTCTTCATTTCTAAGTATTTTGTTGACCCATGATAATAAAACTGCCCTGCTAGAGACGGATAATTATCATTATTAGTACCAGATGCCCTTGGGGGTGGGCTCCCTTTGTCTCCTGAAAAATGAACACAGATTAAAGAAATAACTCCTTTTCCAGTTTTCTGTTGATGTCAATGCCCAGAATATAAGCCACATTCATCTGCTTGCCTCTCCTCGTCCCTTTCTCATTTACAATCAGACCTGCCAAGCTGAGCTCTGTGTACTTCCCCAAGGCCTTGAGTCCAACCGTGTGATGGGTTAAAGTGCTTTGTATTCTGGTGAGACTCAAAATTGCTGGATTGTGGTTTTATTAGATCCCTTTGCTCCTTGGCTCTAGGCAAAAGTATGCTTTCTTAAAATATAAAAGGGGGTGGGGCAACATGAAGAATAAACTCAAAAAACAAAATAACAGTTTTGTTTTCTCTAGCAAATATTTAGAAACTGAGTAAGTAATATATACTGTATGTACATACATATAGACAATAGCCATGCCTAGTGGATTAACATTAACTGCTCAGTTACAACAGTCAGAAACATTTCAGTCTAGCCACTCTGTTTTCCATTTACATTATATTCTTCAATCAATTACATACAATTTTCAACAGTTTATCTGAGAATGAGCTTTGCAAGTTAAATACTTTATCCATCAGTAGGCTAATGTTTAAGTAAGGCTAGGATAAAACATGATGCTTCTTAGTTTAGCTGTATTACATGCATTTTTGAATGAAAATTTTTAGCTCCCAATGGGTTTAATGAAACAGTTTGAAGCATATATGTATACATCTACACATATGTGTGTATACATTCATACACCATAAGTTCAAGTACAAAAAAGACATGGAATATCAATGCAATTGTTACTGTAAGTTTGCTACCAAAACCCAATAAACTTTAGCCCCTTTTCTCTAGACCTTGGAATTTTCTCAGATGAGAAATGTAAATGTTCTACCTTGTCTAACTTGTAGAATGCATTCTAACTTTTTCTTTTGTGTAAGAAACAGCCCTTTTCTTTAAAGATTTAACTTGAAACATCTGGGGTTATGAGTAATCAATTCTAGGAACCCTCATGTGGCACATCCGTTAGCTATCGACAAGGCTCACGGTATAGTATGGTATCTTCTCCTAATGTCTTCGGCCCTCCCAAATCATCTGCTACTGGACACATTCTGAATGTTTCTATCATTTCTCTAAAAGGAAGCAGGACCATGTAATCGTGATGTTCTAACTAGCAAACACCTGGATATTCTAGTTGCTAGTCCACTGCAGTGTGTTTGGCTGTGAGGAAGACGGAAGTCCGATGATAATGGCCCAGAATAGATCTTTCTTACTACTGTAATTATATCAGCAAGTGCTGGTATCACTTTGTGCATTACCTTGTGTTTGTTTACATTCTCCTGTGTGTCAAGGCATCTCCCTCAAAGTATACTAGCCATCTTTTAAAGCTCTTGGTTGCTAAGTGTTTCTTTCTCCATTTCTTAGTCTTCAAGATTCCAGGCCTCAGGTCAATGGGACTCAAGGCTGCATGGTGTATAAACTACTGTATAAGAATACAACCCAAAGCAAGCCAAACTGTCCTTAACATACTCCACTGCAGATGTCCTCGTGTGCCCACTGAGGCCAGTGGAGCGCTTCCGTGACCTACATCCTGATGAAGTGGCCGATTTGTTTCAAGTGACCCAGAGAGTTGGGACGGTGGTGGAGAAGCATTTCCAGGGGACCTCCATCACTTTCTCTATGCAAGTGAGTTCACAGATTGTTCACAAGTGTTTCTTTCCTTCCTTCTCAAAGCTGAGCATGGGGCTCTGTATCCTAGCCATGTTATCAGAAGTGTTTGTGGTCTGCATTTACATAACAGCAGAAAAAAATGTTACTAATGTAAGGCAGCTCTGCTGTCCACGGCCTCAACATGGACTATGGAATGGTGTTGCAGCAAATGTCCACTATGTTGTTTACAAAGCGGGTGGGAGTCATAGACAAGTAATTTAGGGGGATTGAATTCATTTGCTTCTCTGTTGTGATGAGACACAAACCAAAGGTAACTTGGAGGAAGAAGTTTATTTGACTTATTTGTCTACACTAAAGCCCATTATTGAATAAATAATGGGTCAGGAGCTTAAAAGTTAGCAACCTGGAGGCAGGAACCGAAGCAGAGACCACAGGAAGCACTGCTCACTGGTTTGCTTCCAGGCTCATGTTCAGTTACCTGCCATTCTTAAACAACCATGACCACCTGCCCAGGGGTAGCTCAGCTCACAGTAACCCAGTCCCCGAAATCAATTAGCAAACTAGAAAATGTCCCCACAGACCATGTCCACAGACCTTGCCCACAGACAAATCTGATGGGGGCAATTCCTCAACTGAGGTTTTTGCTTCCCAGTTGTTCCTAGGTTTTTGTCAAGTTAACAAAAACTAACCAGCACTGGGAATGTACATGAGAACTGGAACTAGGGAATTTTGTTTTGTTTTGTTTGCTTGTTCTTGTTTCTGATTTTTTGTTTTGCTTTGTGGTAAGTATGTTTTGAGCATGCACAGCCTCAGCCCTGCTGTGGTTCCAAGGAGAGCAGTGATCTGATCCCTAATTTGAGCCTCTTCTTTATAAGACTTACTTTTCTCCAGATGTGATGCAAACTGCAGTGATAGGTCGTAGGTTGCTACAGTGAGTTTATTGCATGCATATAGCCTACCACATAATGAAGATAGCAGGTTTGCAGTCACTAAAGATCTGTGGGCAGAACTTGGGCCAGTCCTCTTCAGGTTGAAAGAAGGACACCCATGATGTGTGTCATCAGTTGGTAGCCGAGTACATTGTCAATAACACCTTCAGATCCCTATAGATAGGGGTGGGGACAGTAGAAAATGTGTAAGGGCCCTTGTACTTAGAAGCACACTGAGTTCATTTCTCTGGTTGGAAATCAGTGGCTCCAGCATATGAGGACCATATCCTCAGCTCTTCACACTCACCAACATGTCCACCATCTCCATCACTTATTCTCTCATTGCTGGAACACAGTAGCCCGGCACACCTAAATTAAAGAGGCAACAGTGTATTTTGGCTGACCGTTTGAGATTAGGGAAATAGTAGCAGTCCTATGAGGCAGCTGCTTACATTGTATTCACAGGCAGGAATCCCAGAAGGAAAAGGTGCTCACCATAATTTCTTCTTTTCGTTTAGCAACAGGACACTGGCCAAGGAAATGCTGGGGCCCAATTTTCGAATAGATCGTCCCTCCTATTTAGTCTAATCTAGAATCTCCCTGATAATGCCTAGAGATTTATTCAAAAACACAACAACTTGAGTCAACATGACAACCAATTATTAACCCACCATCCTTACACTCTTTCCAAAACACTCCAAAGACAACAAGTATAGAAGCCAATATACTGAGGTCTTTGACAAAAGATGTTCATCTCTTTCTCAAAGAACAAATTCTGGCTTGTATTAATTGAGAGTATCTGAGCATCCCTAGGAATACAATTTGAGACAGTAATTCAACTTGGGGTGGGTTTATTAAATCTCTGTTGCAAACTGTTTCCAGGTAGACTAGGTAAAGGAAATGGATGAGAATATGTACCAGGAAATGCTAGTTTTGGTTACCTAAGAATATTTCCATAAACATGGTGCCTGACTATGGATGGAATTGGAGCAATTTTGCATAAGTACTATTGTGAAACTGTTTTAAAACTGTACTTCACATTAACATACATTTGTATGTTACAAGTCTGTGTACCCTTCCCATCTCATACATGTGTACCTTCAAGGATAAAGAACTAAGATTTCACAAAGTAATCTTAACCAGTCCTCCACGTTCTAATAGCTTTGGTCCTGTTATGTTATCTTCGCAAGTATTGCTTGGGAACTATGAGAAAAGATTTGATGTACATGTCAGACATGTGCTTAATCCTTGTCCTAGCAGAGCATGAGTCCTTCCCAGTCATGGTCATAAAGAGGCATAGTTAGCCAAAACCAATGAGTAGAAATTCTATTTTGAAATTGTGTTGCAAAGAAGTTTGCTGCCTTCTCTCTAGAACACCTGCTTTCAGTTGTAATGAACTTAGAGACTGGGCATGTGTTCTTATTTTCAGCAGTGATACAGACAATTGAAAATAATCTTGTTGCCTTTGAAAAGCTAGGAGGAGGAAGGGGTACGTGCAAGAGGATCTACCCACAACAGTCACTTTCCTTTTCTGACTCAAGGTCAGGAGAGCTTGAAAGGACTGTTTCATCTGAACTTTATCTTCTTGGTTAAAGGATTTCTTGAGGAGAAACTGAATCAGATATTAATTAAATGACTTCTGATTTAAAGATAACCAAACCATGGTACTTTGCCTCCCCAAACATTTTTAATCTCATTTTTAATGCGATTAAAACCATAGCTGAAACCAAAGACTATGAAAAATAGAAAGGAGTGGCCTGCTGGATAATTCATATCATTTTTTACATAACTCCTCGCTCAGAAGGAAATGGGGCCTGTCTGGTCCCACACATTTGAAATGATTGGTCCCCATGAGACTACTACAAATTAACATACAATGAAATTGGATCTAAATTATTAATGGGCAATATTTCTGAATAAGCAGGCAATACCATCAGTCAATTCTCATCCCAACTCCGTTTCTTTTTCTTCCTCTTCTTCTAGGATGGTCCTGAAGCTGGACAGACTGTGAAGGTGAGTGCTTATTATGTGCATACAAATTAATACGAGCGATTATGGGAACTAATAAAAAACCACAACGAGCCATTTGCAGCACATTGCTCTTTCATTATGTTATCTTCGAGGTCAGAGAGACCCTCAGTGTTAGAGCCATAAATCCTGACATTATAAACTGTGCCAAACAGTATGTTTCCCATTAGTTTACAAGACATTTACCCTTTGTAGTAAAATTATTACTGTGCAATCACTAAAACAGAAACTAAACTGAGGAGTTCTAAAATAGAACAGGGCAGGGTACATCAACTTCCTGTGGGTTATATGGGTCCTGTATAGACTAGAGCACCTGATATATCTTTAGTTCTCTGCACAATTTAATTTTACTTATTTCTTCTGAGTAAAAAGACATTCTGTTATGTGTCAAGTGCCTCCCTCTCCTCCTTGTCTTGTCTTTTCTTTAGGCCCACACTTTTCTCTTCTCTCTAGCTACTAAATACCAAAGTTCAAACCTAATGGGATTGATGGAGTTCAAAATGGTTTTAAAGTGAGCTAAAGAGGAAAGGAGGATTTATTATGATAGCCTCTGATCATAGTGAAACTAAAATCCTAGCTGGTTACGAAGCAAGAATCCAGCTTCTTTCCCACAAATGTGAATTCCTGTGGTTAGGTTCAACGCTTAAGTGATAGAGAAGACTGGGCTTTATGGTGGTAACAAAAAGAAGCGAGTTACACTATGCTGCTGGCATTATTCATGGTGAAATAGAGCTTTTGTGTTTCAGAGCTGACATGGTATCGTGGCGAGCCAAGTCCTACCAAGTAAACATGGTGCTTTTCTGATCTCAGTTTGTATCCAGGTCCAGTGTTTAATATAACTATAGTGAAACTTTGCAACTAGGAAGTCTGGGAATTTTCACGGGGAATGAACGTCTCAAAGGGAAAACTAACAAATTCTAAATGATCAAAAGAAAGGCCCCAATTTCTCCAAACACGTTACAAGTAAAACTGAACAAAGGATAGGGATGTTCAACTTTCATGCGTTGCTCTGTCCGCTATCATGTTAGGCAGATGCTAGAAGAGGATGCAAAATCAGTGTCTTTGCTTTGAAACTGATTCTTGAAATACAATGCAAAGGTGTTCAAGCTTGGCCACCAGACTTCTAAAACTCTGGATTGGATTCAAATGTAAATTTAAAATGCACTGAGTTAGTTAAAATGCAATGGGAGATGTCTCTTTGGTGCAGTTTCTGAAGCCGTTGATGGTATTGGAGGAAGAGCAAGTGGCATGGGAGGATGCATAGCTCTATAGTAGAACACACAAATTGTTGACATACACATATTAAACAGCTGAAACTTATGTGAACAGGTAGACTATGTGCTCTAGATATTTGATTTCAAAACTCGAAAGAGGGAAGGGGATATTTACATTATTTCCTATAAACATGGACTTGAATAGAAAACAAAGTAACTTTGAAGTTGCTAGGGGCTAGGAAAAGGATGAACTAGAGAGTAACTGTTAATGGCTGTCTCTTGTGGTTGATAGAAGTCTTGGTATTTGAGAGATGGAGATTTTTTTTGTTTTTCTTTTTGTTTTATTTTTTTTAAGGGCCAATTAAGCATTGAGTCCAACAGGGATGAAGACCACAGCTATAGAGTTTCAAATTTCAATAGCAGCATTGTCCTACTTAACTGAACAAGTTGTCAAGTTTCTGTTAGCTTTAATGGTGATTATAAGGAACTGACTAGTAATATGAAGCACCAGGTATGAATTACTGAATGTTCTTAGTATAGCCCTTACTATTAAGCTTAAGCTAATTTCTGTAAACAACTGTACCCTTTAAAAGAAATAAGCCTATTATGTTTAAAAAAAATCCTCTTGTTGGTTTCTAGCCTGGTCACAGCATTTCCCCAGTATAAATGTGTGGGGTTAACTCACATCCTTTTTGGAACATAATACATAAAGAAAAATTCAACACACACACACACACACACACACACACACACACACACACGCATCTTATCTGCATTAGAAATAGAAGTAAACTTTTGTTAACTATTCTGTTACTCCAAGTCCTCCTATCTACAAATGAATAATCTATAGTTATCAAGTTGTGATCTTTACACCACCATGCATGAAATTTTTCTTGGGAGTCAGGTAAACAACAGTTACTACCACGGACTCTCTGTTATTTTAATAAAATCTAATTAATTCACAATGCTGTGGGCAGGAGCTGGGAACCTTCATAATTATTAAGAAATATTCCCGGTCTGGTTCTTTTCAGATGGTTATGTTTCCCAGCCTTGTTAGTTTCTGGTGACAGTGTAGCTCATAGATGGTGTTTGTGTAACTAGGATGCATGGAATCCAGTCACACCACACTAGCAGCTCCTCCAGGGAGCATAGCAACACCTTCAGAATCCAGCTGTCCTATTTGGATGGTTCTTGTCAAGGCTGGGAGGGTTTCATGTTTTGAAATTCACACAGTTATACATTTTGAAGGGAGGTTGGTCAGCCTACCATGGAAAGCATGGGGCCTATGGCTTTTTTCTTTGCCTGTGTATGAGATTCTCAGTGCTGTCTGATGTCTGCTTTCTGGGTTCTAATCTACTTTTGCTTCATGTCATGTAGTAATAGGAATAAGGCCACTAATGGCCTTTTTCCCTGAAGCAACTGTTGCTATTGTTAATGAGGGTACACCACTGAGTTAGCTTCTTGAACAGGATGGTACTTCAGGGATTTTTTTTTCCCGAGGCTTTAGATTCTGCCTAGCAACACACAGGCTGGCCCTTGTAACGAGGAAAAGGAAATATTGAAGTAAAAAGTGACCTCTTATTTCATAACTGATTATTTGCTTTTCTTCTCAATTTAAAAGTTGAACACTACTGGGCACAGGATGATTAATGCAGTGATGTGGATATCCTACAGGTTTGAGAACTAATGTCTTTCTCCTCTTCACTACTCAGCCATTCCCTAACACCCACCCAAGCTACTCTGGTGAACCTTATGGTTCCTCTCTGGTTGTCTAGCTGGATTCCTGTCAAGGAATTCTTCATCATCTCTGACACATTGGCTTGTTGGCATGTACCTTTTTCCCCTGTTGTTTCTTTTGTCTACAGGGAATGAATATATATATACACACACACACACACACACACACATATATATATATATGCATATATAGATAGATACAGATATTATTTTGGATTTTGTCCTTATTGATGATACTTGGAATGTGTTGCCCTTGGCTCTGGTACAGTTTTCGATAAAGGAAACTGAGGAAACAGTGGGAGGAGGAAGGTCCCTCTTTAGACCTGTTCCACTGTCCTCCTCTGAAGTCAGCCATCAAAGAATGATCTGATCTACCTGCCCCAAAGGATAATGTACTCCCTCAGCAAGTGACCTGCCTTTTTCAGGCATACAGTGAAGGCTGAACAAGCAGGCCTCAATGAGTCAGCTAGGCTTATTACTGTTAAATCAGAGTGCTACTTTCTCTTCCTGTCACTCCCTCCTGTCAGTTCCTCCTGTCTATAAAAATACTTTGTCCTGTTTCTTTCGGTGTTTGTATCTGAAGCTCCCCTCAGCCTATAAAACTTACATCAAGTGAGTGTGCTACACTTTTTTCTTGTCAATCTGAACCACCATTGTAGTGCTCCTTGTCCTAACATAGCAATAGGAAAGAAAAAAAAAATACTACTCTCTATAGTTTATCTGTGGTGCTTTGTTTTAATGGAGACACTATGACCTTCTGTGCAGAGGCAATTATCTACTTCCAAGGTTTTGTTTTGTTTTTTTGTTTTTTTGTTTTTTTTGGTTTTTTTTTTTGGTTTTTCGAGACAGGGTTTCTCTGTGTAGCCCTGGCTGTCCTGGAACTCACCCTGTAGACCAGGCTCGCCTCGAACTCAGAAATCCGCGTGCCTCTGCCTCCCGAGTGCTGGGATTAAAGGCGTGCGCCACCACTGCCCGGCTACTCCCAAGTTTCTATCTTTAGTCATCAAGAAGTAGGCGTTGTTGCATATGTGTTTTCCATTGTGCAGCCGGACATCCAGGTTTCCTGAAATATCTATGAAATATACCCCATGTATTGTGGACTTCAGACTGAATTTTCCATAAATTATGTTCTTAAATCCAAAGCTCAAGTGTAATTCTAGCCAAGCAGAAGCTCTAATCCTTATTCATTCCCAAGGGATGCTTTCTAATAAGCTCAGTGGGCATCATTTTCCTGATGCTGTTACATGAATGTCTCTGGGTGGAGGATACTTTAGGTATATTAAGGAAAGAGATTCATTCCAGATAAGTAACCTCAAAATCCCTTCATAGATCATACTTTCAGATCCTCTTCCATGTTTATAGTGTTTATATGTGGATGCTGTACTTGAAGGTTTAATTTTATGCTATTAATGTAGGAAACATTTCTTAATAACTGTTGAAATATAAATTACTTCCTATATTGCTGTGGCAGAAAAAGAGGTGCTCTGTAAAGAAATGTTATCAAAAATTTTCTTTAAACTCCTTATTACCTGTGGCATGTTTTTGTTTGCTGGATCAGGTCATACACATGTCATGTAGATCTGACCATATTGCAGTTTAGTGCACATAGAGGACACTTAGTTGTCAACAAAGTCAGAACATTACTACAACTTGGCATCTGTCAGAAGTGCCATGTGAAGGTGAGCTCTGTAACTTACCAGCTTTGCCACTCTGCAGCACGTTCTGAAATGTGAGCCTCAATTTTTTCAAATGGAAACTATTGAATTGTTTGGTGATGAGAAGCAGATGATGTGAACACATAGGGAATATATTAGGTATTAGGTAGGATTTAGACACATGGATGGGATTTGGACCCAAATAACCCCACTTTAAATCCCAGCTTTCTCACCACATGCTGTCACTAGTGTTTGCGTAGACTTTCTCTCTCTCTCTCTCTCTCTCTCTCTCTCTCTCTCTCTCTCTCTCTCTCTCTCTGTGTGTGTGTGTGTGTGTGTGTGTGTGCTTGAGTATGTGTGCATGCATTTGTGCATATGT